GCCACCTGTGATTCAGTGAAACCAGTCTGGCGTCTCCGCTGATGGCGCTGACTCAACTCCGTGGAGGTTAGGATGTCACGTTCCATCCTCCTTAGATTCTCCCGCAGTGTTTGGTGCTGTGTGCTGCGGGACCTCCCCCGGGATTGGCTCCTTGACACCTGTGGTTCGATCAAAGAAACTTGGTGTCCTTGCTGAAGGCGCTCACTCCGCCTTGGAGAGGCATGAATGCCCTGTTCAATCTGTCTCTCATAGCATTCTGTCCTCCTTGGATTGTCCTTCAGAGGCAGTGTGCTGCGGAGCCTCCCTGGGGTTCGGCTCCTTGTCACCTGCCGTTCTCTGTAAGAAAGCCGGCGTCCTCGCTGTTGGCGCCTGCTCCTCCCTGAAGACGCACGGATGTAGCAGTCATGCCTTAGAGCTCGTCCCTCATCGCGTTCCATCTCCCTTAGATACTCCCTCAGTGTTTGGCTGGAAGATCTGCGCGACCTCTGCCGGGATCGGCTCCTTACTGCCCTCGGTTCTATGAAAGAAACCTGGTATTCCTGCCTACGGCGCTTACGCCTCCCTGAGAGGGCATGGGCGTGCCGTTCGGTCCTTTGGTGCTTGTCACGAGCAGTGCTCCGAGCCCTGCTCTGCTGCCGTCTCCTGCTGCTTGAGTGATTGTAGCTTTGGGCCTGCTGGACCCTGGCACGGCCATCGTGATGCCTCCTTGGATACCTGCTTCGGCTCTTCACTTGGGCCCTGCCACGGCTGCCCCCACGGCTGCCCCCACGGCTGCCACCACGGCTACCATCACATCTTCTACTGTAAGACTTGCGGCGCTGGTGTCCTGGGGAATTATGCTGACCTCTTTCTGCTGAGTGGGATCCAGCTTGCTCTGCTTGAGTATGGCTGGCCGAGCTGATGGACTCTTCGATAGAGTGCACCTCAGAGTTACTGTCTTCCGCCCTGTGGAATGTATGTGGGAAAGGTGACTGGCATATCAGGCCCTCCACTCTTGTGTGGAACTACTCCACCATGCAGTAAAAACAGAAAGGGTGCCAACGCCAGCTCACAAAGGCTTGGTCATTAATGCCGGCCCGGCAGATTGGGCACCTTAGGTTCTCTGAAGCACCTGGACGTGCAGCCCGGGACACCTGGATGGTGCTGGCAGCAGGGGAAGAGGAGCTGCTTTCTGCCAAATCTTCTTTCTCTGAGGCCATTTTGCCCTGCAAACCAGAGAGATAAGCTGATGTGTTCCCTGGTGCTGGGGACACAATCTGTAGCCAGCAGCAAAGCTACCAAAGTTGAGTATTAAAGAACTGCGTACTCTGCCTCAGGACAGCGCTTGGGCTGCCACTAATGCCAGAGACCATCCTGGGGTAGATGAGTGACACTTGGGTGTCTTAGCTCTTGAGGCAGGATGGTAACTAACCTGTCTGATATGTGCAGGCAGGAGCTGAGAGGCTAGGAAAGGAATTCCTGGCCTGTCAGCAGCTGCAGACAGAGCCTGACTGCATGGCAGAATGGGACCAGCACCCAGGCCCTGTCAGTGTTGTTGTCCAGCAAATCTTCTCTGTGCCCTGAGAAAGCACACAATGGGATGGGGCTCCTTTCTCCCACCACATTCAGATGTCTCTCCCCAGTGGAGGAGGCCAGACACCGTGGCCTTTTGGGGCTTCCCCAAGCATCCAAAAGGCTTGTTGTCACATGTGTCACAATGACTCCCTGGTGACATTGTGGGGCTTTCAGGGACCACACCCAGAAGACACAAACTCCAGCCCTAAGGAATGGACACTTCCACAATAGCTCATCTTACATGGCTGCTCCACTGTCAAGTAAAATTGTAATGCCATATTTTTTACATAAATTCACAGGTTACACTGATCATATTCAACCCTGTGTTCTGTTTTGCAAAGAAACCAGCTCAAGGCATTTCTTACTCCTCAGTCAATGTTGTAAATCAACAGAGGTGATACTCCATTGGAACAGTGTCCAGTGTGCGTCTCCCCAGCATAAGTAGAGATGGACATACTGGAGAGTGTCAAGTAAGGGTTCACAAGGACCATCTCTTCTACGAGGACAGGGCTAGGAGTGCTGCCTCCAGGCAGAAGTCTCCATAGAGGATCTTTTCCAATGTATACCAATAACTGAAGGGAAGGTACAAAGAAGACACAGCCAGGCTCTTGTCAGGGGTGCCCAGAACACAGAACTTCTCTCTAAATATTGGGGAATTTTTTTACTGTGAGGGTGACCAAGCACTGTCAGGGTGCTTGTGGACTTTCCCTCCTTGGAGAAGATACTCAAAAGCTTTCTGGCTGTGGTCATGGGCTAGCTGGCACTGCTTCCTCTCAGAAACCTGATGTCCCCAGTGTCCCACCTGCCTTCTGCTGTAGTTCTGGTCTCACAGCCTGGCCCTCATCACAATCCCTTATCACTTGCTTCTCTCTCTGTGTTTGACCTTAAGTGCTGTGGGACCTCCCCTGAAATGGGCTCTTTGTTGCCTTTCATTCCCTGGAGGAAACTCAACTCCCCGCTGCTCTTTCTTGTGCGTCCCATAATAAGCTGGGATTGGCTCTTCTGGGTTTAGAGCTCAGCCCTCGTCATGGAGTGAAACCAATTTAAGTGCCACAGCTTGCCTCAGTCTTGGTAGATAAACAAACTCATGTTCACATAAGTCTGATAAGCCCAGCTGAAGTAGTCTTTCATTAGCTTCAGCAAAGATGCCACTTTGAATCCAAAACTTCCAGGTACTCTCAGTTGAAAAAAAGCACAAGGCTGGCACTGGTTACAAGGCCTGGTAGATGATTCAAAGTGGAGCGTTTTGTCCTATTCTTTAGTGCCCATCTCTGCTGACCATGCAGACTTTAAAGTATCTTCAGCTTTCCAGGAGAAAGAGTTTAATTGTTTCTAAAGCCAATGGCATCCTTGCCTGTGTCAACAATAGATGATCATCAGGACCAGGGCAGTGATTGTTCTCCTGTACTCAGCACTGGTGAAGCCACACCTTGGGTGTTACGTCCACTTCTGGGCCCCTCACAAAGACACTGGGGGGCTGGAGCGAGTCCAGAGAATGGCAGCAGAGCTGGGGAAGGGTCTGGTGCACAGATCTGATGAGGAGCATCTGAAGGAATTGTGGTTGTTTAGCATGGAGAAAAGGAGGCTTGGGGGGGGACTTCAGTGCTCTTTTCAACTACCTGAAAGGAGGTTAAGTCAGGTGGGGGTTGGTTTCTTCTCCCAGGCAGCTAGTGACAGGATGAGAAGACATAGCCTCAGGCTGTGTCAGGAGAAGTTCAGGTTGGACAGCAGGAACCATGTGTTCACAGAAACAGTTACCAAACATTGGAACAGATTACCTCAGGAGGTGGTGAAATGACTGTCCCTGGAAATATTTGAAAGATGTAGATGTGTGGATGTGACACTTTAGACGTGTAGATGTGGCTCTTAGGGATGTAGTTTAGTGGTGGACTTGGCAGAGCTTGATTAATAGGTGAACTTGATCACCTTAAAGGTCTTCTCCAGTTTAAACTTCCATGGTTCTAGTGAAATATATGTGTACGTGTAGATTGACATTCCCCACCTGCCTTTTAGAATTACCTAATTTAGTGCTGTGTTCACAATACATTTGGGAAATTCCTTTATTTCATTTAGTACTTACTGTGTTTGTAACACTCTTCCCTCTTTATGCGCCTTTGTCTCTCCCCTCTATATAAAGACCAAAAAGGTCCTCTCTTTATCTATAGTCCCCATAGCCCATTCCTTTGTATAATTGCATTGTATCTGTTGTCAAAGAACTTTTTATCTATTAAACCTGCTCAAAATGAGTATTTTACTTAATTTGATGCTTGCTGCTTTCCGGATTAATCTTCCACTGGATGCAACATACCATATTTTTTTACATGTGTTCAAGTATTTTACAATAATGAAATGTTCTTCTGATGCTTTTAGTGATTGTAAATAACTTTTTAATCCTAAATTATTGAATGTGTATCCCATCTGAGCTCTTTTAGGTGTATTCTCTGGGAGGTTTTAAAAAATCTTATTACTGTAACATTAGAGAACTGTCTGTTGGTGCAGGCTTTAAATAAATTATTTGATCTCATAAAAGCAGCATAAACATTTATTAACAAATCATGTCATGGGCTGTTCTTTTCTACACATTTTCTCTTTATGCTTGTTGTAAGTCAAAGAAACTTGTGTATGAATGTTAGAGTGTGCTGTGGCTGTGTTCCTCCTTTCCACTCTTGCTTTCACATCCCTGAAACAGCATGTTTCTGAGACCCACAGCTGTCCCTTTTCAGCTATAATTCAGTTATAATTAGCTCATTATAAGCATTGCCATTTTCTGTGCTGTCAACAATGTCACTACTGCAAAAGCAGCTTTTTCTATAGTACCTGTACTGTCAGGGAGCTCTCAGGCACTGTGTAAGGTGCCCTTTGCAGGATGATGAATTTAATTACTTGTTGTTATCCATTGGTTATAGAGCTTTAGGGAATAAAGAATGCAGAACTATTCTACTAATAATAGAATAATTTTTTTGGGCAAGGGTTAACTTCATTTCATTATCTTTAACTGATTCAGAAGTATTTGAATGAAAACTCAGTAACAGCAAGAAGTTTCTTCAGTTTTCTAGTATTTGTACTGAAAGTTAGCTATTGCAGTTAGAATCCAGCTTAGTTCTGGCAGGTCACATTTACAAAAAGCATTGAGCTGTGATATGTTATTCCCTTTAAAAGACTGACAGCTGGAATTGTAAGCCTCGTCTGTTCCTGCTCCTGCTGAGATCATTTGGCTTCCCTTTCAGCTGGGGAAGAATTAGTTGTGGAGTGTGCCCTGTGGACTGTCACCTCTGCCTCTCAGCACTGCTGAGAGTCCAGGTTCTCTTAAAGACAGCAGTCCCTGTCACGTGAATGCAGAAGCACAGGTGTTCAGTGCTCGGTCTGGGTCGGAATGTGTAAGTTGAAACTTCCTAAGGATGACAGTTGCTATGTCACTGATTGTTCTATTTTGTGATATTTTTCAGAAATGGAAAAATTTCAGGGTTCCGAAGGCAAGAAGGAAGATGAAGAAAAGAAATACCTTGATGTTATCAGTAACAAAAACATAAAGCTGTCAGAGAGGGTTTTGATCCCTGTCAAACAATATCCAAAGGTACTGTAAATCTAGTCTAACACTTGTTTAATATTTATTAATATAATGATGAAAAAGTTATACACAACCATTTTTATTGAGTCATAATGTGTAGGCTTTGTGGTAGTAAAAACAAAAAAAGCTCCTATTTAAATATATCCATTAGTGTTACATGTTTTAGCTCCTGTCTCAGGGCCTTTCAGAAAAGCAATTAAAGTGAATGAGATTTTTTTTCACGTTCAGGTACATTTTGTCCTTATGCTGTTGAGTTTTTCTTTCTCCTTTTTTTTCTTTTTTTTTTTTTACATATATCATCCTTTTATAAAATAAAATAGCTGTTGCCCAAGAAAAAAATGTTCCAGCAACTCCGAAAAGCTTCCTCATAGAAGGGTTGGGGGATTTTCTCAGGTGTAGTAAGTTTCAAAAGATCGTGTCAGGATTACTGCAGGCTGTGACTGACAATGTTTTAGCATCTAAGACTTTCTTATTAGTTCTCATTGTTACATACTTTAATGCAGGAAAAGGATTTTATTTCTTGCAAAATCTAGCTGCTTATGGGAAGTTTTTGGTTTTATTTTTTTATAAGAGAATATTGGGTTTTTTTGGAACTTGGGTGTTTGTTTGGTTTTCTTGTACAGTTTTTAATTTCACATAAACAGTTTCTCCAATAGTATTCATACTGAAATGACAAACATCTCTGTTTGTCTCCGGACTATTTTTTCCTTGCTGATTTATTATCATATGGTGCATGGTTGACCATTAGCCTCGATTACACTTTGAGCTTTTTGCTTTATACTTTCATTACAGCAATAAATTTCAATAGGTAAAAAGCTCATCAAACAAAATGAAAGGTGTAAAAAAAAATTGAGATTCAATGATTCCAGCTGACACTTACCTCCTGACTAGTGAATGTAAAACTGAGATAATGTAATAATCAAAATAGTAAAGACCTTAGAAACACATACAGTGCTATAAGGAATTACTTTCTTGCTGCATAGCCTGAGGTGCTTTGGCTTGATTTGTGGTATTTTGTGTAAATGCTGTAGGTGACCTGAAGTTCTTAGTCAGGATGTAATAGTGCTGTAACTTCGTAACAGCAGTGTGATAATTATTCAGAATACTGTTTGATGAAGGTACTAGAATAAAAGACAAACTATTTGAAAGACAAAACACTATCATCTATCCAATATAGCACCTGAATGTGATTAAATTAGCTTCATTTACTTTGATGAACATGTCATATTAATGAAAAGTAAAAGATATAAGGCATTTTTTACAGCTTTTGAGTGGTGGAGCAAAAGAAATCAGTGTGATAGAAATGAAATACTTATTCAGTAATGCAGAATAATCTCTTGCAGGGTTTCTGTCATTGATTTGCTAGCAATATTCTGTGCTTGGCATGGAACTATTCCCAGAACTGTAGGTTTCCTGATACTGTCTCTAGTAACTATCTTTCAAGGACTGCATTTGCACTTGGTGTCAAACAGCTGATTGCTGTGATCTAGTGTCTTGTCTTTTCTGGATAATTGTATACATTAGTCAAATCAGCACACAGCAGTTGCTTCAGCTTGCTTTATGAATGATGAAAAAAAGTAGAAGATAATTAAGAGGATTAGTATTATATATTTTTTAGAATATGTTAATAGTAGCAGTTGATCAGACTTGTATTTATAAACAGTTAAGATAATTACCATATGTTTTCATGTAGGAGTCATTTCTATTTGAAATAACATTATTTTAAATCATTTAGTCATTGTTTGCTGACAAGATTTTGTGGGCATTGCTAGGCATTGGGCATTGCATTAGCAGGATTCTGTAAATATGCAGAAAGTGTCCAAATGTATAAAATTGTTGAAGAAAATCTCTCCCAGTTAAAACCATGTAAAACAACAGTTTACAGACTCTGTTTGGGCAGTCATTGTTTGCTGACAAGATTTTTTGGGCATTGCTAGGTTAGCAGGATTCTGTAAATATGCAGAAAGTGTCCAAATGTATAAAATTGTTGAAGAAAATCTCTCCCAGTTAAAACCATGTAAAACAACAGTTTACAGACTCTGTTTGGGAATGAGGGCAGCTCTTGGAAGACATTTGCACTTACTTTAACTTCATGTAAAAATACAAATTGCTCCAAGGGAACCTTTGGCCTAAAAATTTATTATGGTCTGTAGGCTAAGCTTCAATGACAGCTGTAGAGTCAGCAGCAGCATTTTAAGGTTTGAGCAAAAGTTAACACAAAAGGCTTCTAGTGGCTAAATAGTTCTTGAAGTTGCAGAATAAGTCTTATAAAATTGTCTCTACTCAAGTGTCCACAGTCTGGTGCAGACAACAGGAAAAGAATATGAAAGGTTGTGACTAGCAACAGCTGTCTTATGGTACCACTGGTAAAGACACAGGCCTCTGTCCTCTGCTCTGAAACAGGGATCTGAAATAGAGATGGGGCATTAGTTGATACTTCAGCAATGATCTTTTCTGAGATTAATAATCTTAAATACCAGCAGCCCAGGTAAAAACAGCATCTCATTTACACATACTCCACTACGCAGCAAATATTTTTAATGCAGTCAAAATTTCTCTTGAAACAGTGATGCAATGTCTTTGTTGGTCCTTCTTTCTGTCCCATAAAGCCTTTTTTTTAACTTTTGTGATATGTGAATTCCAACTAAGACTTTAATGAAAATACCTCAGGATTTGTTTAAAAATACTTCAGCACTGATCAGTGTGAATTTATTTCAAATACATCAGATATGGGAAAAGAGTAGGGTTATTTAAAATTTTTTTTAAAAACGCCAGAAATCTGAAATTATCTTGTTCCTGAAAAATGAAAATGTCAGTTTAGATGCTTGGTGGGAAACTTTGTCATTTGCATGGCAATAAAAATTTTTGCCATTTACTTACTTGTAGTTTGGTTTCTGCTGTTTTCTGTAGTTCCTACCTTTTTCTGTGATAACTTGTTTACGGAGCATCTAAACTGGGCTTTGCAAATTTGTTCCTTTGCATAGTTTAAGAAGTTGAGAGCTTGTTTAAAGCTTTAGCTTCATGGAGCACATAAAATAGGAGGTTTTTGTTTGCAAATTTGTCCAGTACACATTGTAAATTAAAATATTGCTGACTTTGGTGAAATTCTGCCCTCATTATCCCTGGCTTCAGCTTAGCTGGGTTTCAGCCATTAAGGAATGGCTCAGTTTGTTAATTTCTTTTGCTTCCTTTTGTTTTCTATGAGTGCAAATATATGAAATAGCTGACAAGTTAAAAATAAACAGTATGTGTATAAAAGTCTTAAATATTGCAGTGCATCTGTTTTGGTTTGACCTCAAGCAGCAACCAAGCCCCCTGCAGATACTCACTCACTCATGCACCAGTAGGATGGGAGAGGGATGGAATAGTGAGAGTGGGCTAAGAGACTTTAATAGCTAAAGCAAAAGTTGTGCATGGAAGTAAAGCAAAATCAGGAATGTCTTCACTGCATCCCATGGATAGGCAGGTATTCAATCATCTCCAGAGAACAGGGGCCTATCATGTTTTGTGGTGACTTTGGAAGACAAATGCTGTCACTCCAAATGTCTCCTCCTTCTCCCACCCTTATATGCTAGTCATGCCACTATGGTTTGGGATATCCCATTGGTATCTGGGGTCAGCTGTGTGTCCTCCCAACTTCTTGAGAACTCCCAGCCTCCTCGCAGGTCAGGTGGGATGAGGAGCAGAAAACCTTTGACACAGTAAATGCTGCTCAGCAATACCAAAATCATCTGTATTATATCAACATTGTTTTCAGCACAAATGCAAAACGCAGCTCCAGACTTCGAAGAAAGTGATCTCTACCCCAGCTCATGACTTCATGCAAATAACTTAGACAAACTCAGCAGTGCTAAACAATTCATTGTGAAGGGTAAAGTTTTCTGGTTTTATTCTGTCTTTAACATCTAACTCAGACAAGTAACATGATGTTTACTTAGCATTCTCATTCTTTCATGTGTTGTTTCTCTCAAACCTGATGGTTGCTGTTGTGCTTTCAAAGCAGCTGTTTTCATATTAAATCTGCAGGTGATTTGTGTGTTTAGTTCACTTTTAAGATATGAAGAATAAGATATGCCAATATGTCCATTAAATGGAATGACAAGAAAATAGGAAATTTCTAAGGGAAGTGGGACCTGTGCTGTCAGTGAGCTGAATGAGTTAGCCATGACTTCTCTCTGTAATTTATATTGTTTGAATGAAATAAGTACCTTTTGTTGCATAAGGCAGGAGGAACATTTGATCTTTCACTAATCCTGTAGATGTTTCAGGAGATTATGAAAACTCTAACATTTTAATAAGAGGAAAAAGCTAAGCTAACTGCAGAATGGAGATTTTTAGTTGCCTTGCCAGTATTTTTTTCCTCCTGTGTAAGACAAGAAAAGCCTTTATACTTGCAAGACCCTGGAATTTAGACTGATGCCGGACTAAATAAATATTTTACTGGTTCTGTATTTCAACTGAGTTATTTAAAAAGAAGCCTGAACATTGGAAGGCAGAAAATTATTAATTTACATGAAGTGCGTTTTACTGAAATTGATCCTGCAAATAGTTGTATAAATAAAGAATGCTTTTGCATATATCTTGCAAGATTTCTATCCCTACCTGGTCTTAGTGAAAAAACTGAACATGCATCTTTGTAACAAAATAATGCTTTTCTGCTTTATAAATGTGTGGGGAAATTTCAAAATTCCTTTTTAGTTGAGGCCAATTCAATTTTCATGTTCAAGTGTAATAGTCACTCAGAATTTCTGATCTACACAGCACCAGGAATAATAGGGGCAAAAACTTCTTTATGTGCTGTATTTAATCTGGAATTTATTATTATTTGATTTTTTTATTAAATTTTAATTTCTGGAGTCACTGATACACAGAAAATTGTTCCAGAAAAATTATATAAAGTGTTCTAGTACTTAAGGTTTATAAAAATCTAATTAAAAGATACTTGAATAAGTGTTATTCAGTGGTGAAAGCCCAGGCTCTATTAAGCACTCGGACATCAGAAGAAG